AAAATAAACTTGTGTCCCGTTTATTTTTCTTACTTCAATGTCAGACACGTTTTCTGTAAATAAATAAATAAAAAATAAAATAAATTCATATAAATAATTAAAACTAATAAATAAAAATGTAAATAAATCAATAGAATTAATAATTTAATTCATTTGTGCAAATAAAATTAGATTAATACAAAAAAAAGAAAGTGAATCAAGGCCTGAAAACATAAAAATGTTTTACCCTGAATAAAATGAAAAAAGTTTTCTTCAGTATTTTAGTCTTGCTTTCCAGTACAAATTTATTAACATTCTTAAATTAAAATATTTATTTAACTGACCCAGAATTTCTTCTTCTTCTTGCTTTAAGAATAAACTCACTTAATTTTGATCATCGTTTTCAGAAAACAAGACTTAAGACTCGGAAAAAATACTTAGAAGAAAAATATGAAAATTTTAAATAAAATAAATGTAAAAAAAACACAATTTTTACATACATTTTCAGTGTATGTATGCAAATATGTAGGTGCATCAAAATGTTTAATGTATGAGGTAAGATTAAGCAAAAATCTAGTAAAAATTAACTAAACTACACAACAAAGAATTATGTTTTGGGGGAAAAAATAGCAATCGTCTCAGTCTTTAAGAAAAACGATTGACAAAGAAAACTATTGCAAATATATATTGTTAATGTTAGATAGAAAGCCGTTCATTTTATTTTAATAATTAAAATAAATTAAAATATAAATAAATTAAAATTAAGGGATCTACTGAAAAGTTATAAATAAATAACATTTACCTAAAAATACACACATTAAGATAAAAATAAATAGCTAATTGAACAAAAATGAAATAAATGAACAACAAAGAATGATGTTTTGGATGGAAAAATAGCAATTGTCACAGTCTTTAAGGCAGTATTCAGGCAACATCAGAAAGCTTGGACTAAACTAAAGCAGGATGTTGAAAACATATGGAGTATGATTTCTTCTGCATGATTATATGCTGATTTCAGTGAGCGGCTGCAGCCTTCAGTGAATCAGTAAGAGTCTCTGTTGAACTAAGAATATACGCTGACCTCTTTTCTCTCTTCTCACTGTCGCTCAGAGAGCTTTCGAAGAGCACAGACCAGGTGCATTGTGGGAAATGTGAAGCAAATGCTGAACTTAATTTATGAGCCGTGAAAGACCAGAATATCTACAGAACCGCTAATGGACAAAAACCTACCAACAGTGAACACTGTGTAAAATACACTAGTGCTCACTATTATTATAAGTGAACAACTGCTAATTAATCAAGTGGCAGCAGCTCAATGCACACATTTATAGAAAATATATCCAGTATAATGATAAATCAGGATTATTTCGGCCATCAACCTGCTTTTTTCAAATTCAAATTCAAATGTTCAAATTAAAATTTTCAAATTAAAATTTGAATAGAATTTGAGGATAGAAGAGGGCATGAAGGAATTAATTAAAACAAATAAAAAAAATTAAATTAAAAGGTACTGAATCTGCTAAGAAGTTAAAAGAAAAATTCAAATGTTAATTAAAAATAAATTAAGATAAATAATTAAAACAAATGAATTAAAATGCAAATAAATTAACATTAAAAGGTACTAAAGGAGCTGCTGAAAAGAGAAAAAGAGTGTAAAATTAAAATGAATTAAATTACAATACATATATTAAAATATAAAAGATCTGCTGAAAAGTAAAGAGAAAAATAATGTACAATTTAAATAAATAAATAAAAATTGAAATAAATTCATACAAATAAACAAATAGATTAAAAATTTAAAATAAAGGTACTAAGGGGGCTGCTGAAAAGTTGTGTAAAATGCAAATAAATAAACATACCAAATAAAGTAAATAAAAGTAAATAAAGGGCCTGCTGGAAAAGTTCAAATGAAAAATAGTAAATAAACATTATAATAAAAATACATATTAAAATTACAACTACAAATTAACAAATTAAAATAAATAAATCAAATTAAAATTGACATAAATCAATAAAAATTATATAAATATATATATATATATATATATATATATATATTTTGTGAAAGTTCAAATGAAAAATAGTAAATAAACATTATAATAAAAATACATATTAAAATTACAACTACAAATTAACAAATTAAAATAAATAAATCAAATTAAAATTTACATAAATCAATAAAAATTATATAAATATATATATATATATATATATATTGTTTGACAGCCATAGTTTATACATCTAAAAGTACTGCTGCTTTAATAGGACATTTCAGTGCTTTTTATCCCCCACAGTATAAAAGGGTCTTTATGCATGAAAATGTACATATAATTTGGGTATCCATGGCATCAAAATGTTTGAAAACTTCTGGTGTCAGTCGTTGAAAAACCAGAAACCCAAACACAAGCAGACAAGATCTGCACACATGGAATCAGAGCCTCAACAAGACCAAAAGCAGTCGGATCTCTGCTGACTCGCCATTAGCGGTCAACTCTGTGTAACAAGTCAACAATATTCACAGAGCTCCATGCAAATGATTCATAAAGCTCACAAGCAGCGAGGAAAGATCAGGTGTGATGAAGATGGACGAGTTGGACAGCAGTGACGAAGAGCTCTGTTCTGATACGATGATGAAATCAGGCTCCGTCATTATCAGAAGCTCTGAACGATGCTTCGACGAGCCTGTCATCAGTTAACGACTGAGTCACAAACCTGACTAATTCAGCAGCTCACAAATCACAACACCTCTTCACGCTGCGCAAAACAACTACAGTATGCATGCAACACTCCTGATGCATTTACAACTAAACACACCCACAATGCTGTGCGCCTGACTTGACCTTCCATTTCTAGCGTGATGAATCAAGAATCACAGAATTGGGGCAAAAATATATTATTTATTTCCTTACTACTTATCTATCTATCTGGACATCACATGCTGTATTAAACATGCAACATCAAGAGGTCATGTGACAACAATACAATATACTACTATTTAAGAAGAAAAAAAAAGAGAAAGCAAGAAAGAAACAAATTTGATTAAACATTTGATTAAAATAGTATATATATATATATATATATATATATATATATATACACAATTTATTAGGATATACTACAGTAAGTATAACACTTACTGCAGGCATTAATTAAATTAGTATTAACATAATCAATAATAATACACAAAAATAATATGCAATTCAAAGCGTAATGCAAAGTGATAAATATAAAATAAATATATTTTAAATAAAATAATAAATATGCAATTTAACTAACTAAATAAAGTTATTTAATTTAAATAAAAATGACTAAAATATATATGACTGGAATGATTGAAATAGATAAGAAATGAATACATTTGACTAATTAAAATAACTAAAAATTGATCTGAAAATGGTGACTGGGAAGTTTTGTTCAATGCACATGTAAACAAATATGTGTGTTTAGGGTTCATATAAACACAACTTTGAGAATCAGACGTCAGACTGGATTCCTGTCTTTGATGAAAATGAGTGCATGTAAACATGTCTACAGTCAGACAATTTCTCTGCATACTACAACAGCACGCTCAAATGTGAGTGAAGAGCATCAGATCAGTGAGTGAACATGACCGTGCGCGGCAGATGAGAGCAGCAGTGTTTGGGTCAGAGACCGAGACTGAGAGCTGTGAACAGAACGCCGCAGAGAGACCATCTGTCTGACGGCCGCGGGGCGCTACGACCAGCACCGCTCATGACCGGAGGAGATATTAATAGATAAATTCACCATATGTCACATCACGACACTTTCTGTTAGCGCTGAACACAAACCTGTTACTATTCAGACCATGTTAACACAGCAGACTGTAAAGTATGTACTGTACAGAAAAAAAAACGACAAAAAAAGTATCTTCTGCTCACCTAGGCTGCATTTATTTGATCACAAATACAGTAAAAAATTGTGAAATATTTTTAGAATTTAAAATAACTTATTTCTATTTGACTATATTGTAAAATGTAATTTATTTCTGTGGTCAAAGCTGTATTTTCAGCATCATTCCTCCAGTCTTCAGTGTCACATGATTCTTCAGAAATCAGTATAATATGCTGATTTGCTACATTTCTGATTATTATCAATGTTGAAAACAGTCGTGCTGCACAATATTTTTGAGGAAACCGTGATACAATTTATTTTTCAGGATTCACAGATGAATAGAAAGTTCAAAAGAACAGCATTTATTTGAAATAGAATTATAAATAAATGTCTTTAATGTGACTTTCGATCAAATTAATGTGTCCTTGATGAATAAAAGTATTAATTCCTTTAAAATACAATATATCTTATTGACCAAAACCTTTATCTTTAGACAAAAATTACTATACATATACATATATATATATATATATATATATACATATATACACACAGATACATGCATAGTATACACTAAATACTGTATGTGTGTATGTATATATATATATATATATATAGTAAAAAATATTTAAATATTTTAAATTATATTTGTTTACTCCGTATTGTTTTAAACATAAAACATTTATAAATTTTTGTTACATTCATGAGAATGTATATATTGTATATATTGTCTGAAATCAATAAATTTTGCGAATGCAACGAATGCAATTTTGCTTTGTGCGTTTTAAGGACATGTGCTAATTATAAAAACATTAATATGTGAAACAATATGCATTAGGGAATGGTAAATGTTTCAACATTATGTGTCACATAGGCTCTCTAGGTTATGAGTGCATTGCATTATGGGATACATTGCATATTTTGCACATACGCACATTTTTGCAATGCACATTTCCGTGCATACAGAGTTTGCTTTGTGTTATACTATATGTGTATAATTTGCAACCAACTACTTTCTTTCAAAATTAATAATTAGTATGGACTTACATGCTTTCCAGGCCCCACTTTTTCTGAACACACATGATTTTTAAGCCATGCAGGCTGCAAATGAGATGACTAGTGTTTTGTGGGTTTAAAAACGACATGAACTTGTGTGTCTGAGATCTCACCTTGTGTCTGCACTTCAGGACGACACCGTAAGCTCCTGCCAGAGAAACAGAGAAACAAAAAGGTTTTACTCAAACTTTCACCCAGCTCCACCTGTCTTTGTGAACGTGACGCTCAGCAGATGCCAAAACCCTGAGCGTTTTGTGGCTGATGAATGAAGCGAGTGAAGGCGAGGCCGTCACCTCAGCACACAGACGTGACCGAGACAGAGAAACGTTCAGGGAACTGTAAGAACATCCCGTTTTCGGCTTGAGACCTGTGGGACACGAGCACAGTCAACGTGTTTGTTTAATCAGCGGAATTCATTAGAAATCTCATACGAGCGCGTTAAGCCCAAACAATCTGCAAGCTGGCGCTCAGGTGTCTGTAAACGCGAGTGTTTTTGATGGAGGAGTCTGTGTGTCGTGCATTCGCTCCGGTTTTGGCACCACGGATCATATCTGTGGCACAAATCGACTGTCCCGCAGGAGACGCAGAGCTGAGCTCATCCCAAACTCCCAGCCAACAGATCCGGGCCCACATCACGTCACGTTCACCACAACCTGCTCGATGTGAAGAGATACACAGCGGCTTACAGTGTACATTAGAGCTGCTTTATGATGGACAGACTCATAATCATGATTATTTTGGTCATTGCGGAGTTGACGATTATTAATCATTGACTCGTTCACGCATCGTGCATTTAATTCACTTTTTTTTAAATGTAAAAAACAAAACAAAACAAAAAAATATATATATATATAGATTTGTACATATTATATCTTCACATTGTTTATTCATTATATCTTATCATATATATAGATCAAATCAAAATGAATAATAATCACTTCCACCTACTGAAAACTACTAAATACTGAATTAAGGACCAATTAAATAAAAAAATACAAAGGACCAATTAAGAGCACATCACTAAAACTATTAAAAATAAATTTAATTAAATGAAAATTACATAAAATAACTATAAAAATATGTATCGCATAAAAAACTTAAACCTAAACAAAAATGAGAAATGCTGACAACTAACGTAAATAAAAGAAGGTTGATAAGTTAAAGACGACAAATTACTCAAACAAACTGAAATAAAACAAAAAATGTAAAGCTAGGCTGAAATATTTTGTGAAAAATAATGAAAATGACAAAAACACTCAAATGCAAAAAAATTAAAAATTTTAACTGAAAATATAAAGCTAATAAATATTAATTAATACTATAATAGTATATAAACAATACTAAAATAACTCTGGATGACACTGGGGTTTTATTATTTGAAAAATGAAAGAACAAAGAGTCAGAAAGAAGCTAAAAGAGGCAAAGAGTCGTGAAAGTCTGAAATAAATATGCAAACAAATTCACTTTTAACACAGACAGATTCTTCCAGACAGGTGCTGGTTTGAATGCAGACAGATTTCATGCAGAACAGAAGAACATTTTGATGGAGAGGAGAAATCTGGATTAACTGAAGAACTCAAAGCTGTAGCTTGAATTTTCCCCCAAAAAAGATGATTCGGTTACACTTTACTTGAAGGGGTGTGCATAAGACTGACATGACACCTTCATAATCATGACATGACACATGTCATGAATATGAAAGAGGTTTTATGCATGTTTATGACAACTGTCATTAAGTGTCATTCGCTCAGTTATGTAATTTTTAATGCAAAGATGACATTGTTTGAGATGTCTTTGTTATGGGCTATGGTTAGGTCAAAGGGTAGGTCAAATAATTTAAAAATGACATTAAAAATGACATAACTAAGCGAATGACACTTAATGACAGTTGTCATAAACATGCATAAAACCTCTTTCATATTCATGACATGTGTCATGTCATGATTATGAAGGTGTCATGTCAGTCTTATGCACACCCCTTCAAGTAAAGTGTTACCGATGATTCATATGATTAACGATGATGGACTCACTGATTCATATTCTGAGATATGACGACGTTAAGATTTGAATGAATAAAAAGTCGTGAATAATGAAAAGAGAAAGACGTTTAAGATGGATCGGGATGGCTTTTACTGCAGGAGACCATGAGAGAGAAAAATCTGACATTAATGCGCTTTAATATCTCAATTAGACCGCAATAAGTAGATTTATGAAGTACCCTATTATTATTATTATTAACTAAAACCAAAGCCGTTAAAATCATTTTGACTTAATTGAAATGTAGGTGAAATAAAATTAAAAATAAATATTAGATGAAAAACTTAAACATGACCTTGAAAACGGACTTACTAAAAAGCACTAAAATTGCTAACCAGAAATAAATAAACTAAAACTGAAATAAAAATAAATAAATCTCCATATAAAATGGCAAAAGCAGATGCAATTATTAAAATTTTAACTAAAACTAACAATGAAAACTGAAATGATATAAAATTAAAAGCTACTTCAAAATACAGAAAAATACAAATGCATATGAATAATACTAAAAAATAAAACGCGTTATTTTAGTACTATTTATATACTATTATAGTATTTTTACTTTTATTTCATTAATATTTTTATTTAGTTAATTTTACCAATTTTAGCACTACAACTTAAACTTATTTTACTTCATTTCATTTAGATGTAAGTTTTTAATCTAATATTCATTATTAATATTCTTATTTTAGTTTTATTTCAATTAACAAAAACAATTCTTAATAGTTTTTTTTTCCTCTGGAGTTTCAGTAGAGATCTCAACAATGTCTCAGATCTGCTCACGATACCCACAATAAAAGATCTCAAGATGATTTAATTAATTATGATATAATTAACCGGACTATTTTTATTTCTCTAACTCTGCAAACAAAGCTGATACTTAAAACATAACTGAAGCTGCTGAGCTTGAAAAGAGCAATAAACTCTTCCTCTGGGATCATTTGAGTCCTTTGTTTCTCTGAGTCACATTATTTATCCTCCACTTCACAAATGCGATGACATCAGCTGCACTGATGCAAAAGGAGAGGAACACACACACACACACTCACACACACACACACACACACACACGCGTGCACTGTGAGCATCCTGTGGTGAGACGGCCTGCGTCATGCACATGATCGGCCAGCATCTCCTGAACTCACTGTGTGATAAAGACGTGATGCTGGTAAACTACGCTGAAACCGCCACAGGAGTCTGCCGCGTGACTGCTAAACCCCGCCCACTCCTCTGCCTCAGCCAATCAGGAGGAGAGCTACACACGCCTCAACCAATCCGCTGAGGACAGATGACGAGTGAATGACAAGGCAGTGATTCTCCAGACTCATGTGAAACAGGCTAATCTTCACGACGTGTGTAGCTTAACCTGCTTTTTCCAGAGCCGGAATAGAAAGAAAGAAGAAAAACGAGGCCATAAAGGTGGAACTATGTGACCTGTTTTTACAGGAGCAACAGTCACAGAGACTTCCTCAGCATTTGTTGTCGATTTCTCCTGAAGAAGGAGAACATTCAATGAGGACTCAGTGTGAAAATCACTAATAGGCCAAAAGCTTTCTTGAAGTCTTCCTGTGATGTTCATACAAGTTTGGAAGTCATAATTATGATCATATTTTGGACAGTTAAACTGGGCACTTTCATGTAAATATGGCAAAATGTGACCCTGGAGCACAAAACCAGTCATAAGGGTCAATTTTTTGAAATTGAGATTTATGCACCATCTCAACGCTGAATAAGCTTTCCATTGATGTATGGTTTGTTAGGATAGGACAATATTTGGCTGAGATACAGCTATTTGAAAATCTGGAATCTGAGGGTGCAAAAAAATCTAAATATTGAGAAAATCATCTTTAAAGTTGTCCAAATGAAGTTCTTAGTAATGCATATTACTAATCAAAAATTAAGTTTTGATATATTTACGGTAGGACATTTACAAAATATCTTCATGGAACATGATCTTTACTTAATATCCTAATGATTTTTGGCATAAAAGAAAAATCTATAATTTTGACCCATACAATGTATTGTTGGCTATTGCTACAAATATACCCCAACGACTTAACACTGCTTTTGTGCTCCAGGCTCACAAATATGTTTAACGCAGCTGAAATTTCTACACTGTTTTTGTAACTGAAACTGCATTCAAATTAGCCCAAATACCTGATGATAGTTCATCCAAAAATGTCGTTTCAAACTTGTACCTGTATGACTTCCACTCTTCTGTGAAACACAAAGGCACATATTTTGAAGAATGTCTAAGTGTTTGTTTTTTCGTGTTGTCATACAATGAAACTCAAATGTTTGGACTCCAAAGTTATAAATATATTCTTAAAATACAGAAGATACAGTGTTGTTATTGTTAACTAATACCAAAACTATTAAAAACATATTGGTTATATAAAATAAATCTGAAATTAAAGTAAAATATAACTGCTAAAGTTATATAAGTAAAATATAAAAACTTTCACTAAATGAAAATTATAAATGTTGCTTTGGCAACTAACTGAAAAAATGTTTAACTAAATCTGAAATAAAACTATAACCAAAACAAAATAAAACACTATTTAGAAATGTTTAAAAAACTAAAACGTGGAATTATAAATGCACATACAATGATGAAATTTTATTTGAAAACTAAAAATATAAATCAAATCAAAATAACTAAAACTATAATAGGATATAAATAATACTAAAATAATACTGCACAGAAAAAAAAATCATATGATTGGTAACCAGGTTTATTATCGTTAACTAGAAACCATTTTTTAAATAAAATAAACATTAACTGAAATAAAGTAAATATAAAAAGCTTATTTTATTTCAGCTAGTTGCCAAATCAACATTTCTAATTTTTGTTTATATTAAGTTGAAGTACTAAAATAACTAAAAACTAAATAAACAAAAACTAAAAACTTAAAATTAAAAACTACATATAAAGACATATAAAAACCATTTTAAAAAATTGAGAAGAACACAACAAAATGACTAAATCTTTCATTAAAATCTAAAGATTATTTAGAAAATATATATATAGTAAAATCTCATTTAAAATATTAACAAAAACTATACTATAGTATAGTACAGTACAGTACAGTACAGTATATCAATGATACTAAAATAACACTAATTGGAACAACATGAGGGTGTAAATGGGAATAAATATTTTTTGGGTGAAATGTCCTTTTAAAAATAATGCATTGGGCGGTAGATGTGTAGAAGTTTGTGAATGACAGGCATTTCAGTTCCACGTGGGCCTGATTATAATCAAAACCATTTAACTTCCATCACGCTCCTGTGAAAACCCAGACTTTCCCTCTTAGGACATTCATGTGCACTCATCTCGTAAACACCATAATTCAAAGATCACCTGAAGGCAGAAATATACTGGCAAGTCTCAACCAAATCAATTGGCTTTCAATTAGCATTGAGCGGCGAGAGGATAAACAAAGAAGTCAGGATGGGAACGGAGGAATATGAGAGAGGAGAGCACAGCTGAGAGGAGATTAAACTACTGATGGCCAACAGAGAGAAACTGATCTACTGACAGCTGAACACACATCTGAGAGCATCAGTTAATACACTACCATTGTTTATACACTATTTTGTGTTCATCTGGATTATATTACACAATGACCTTTATAATTATCATCTCTCTCCTGAACCGTGGGCCACTTTCCGTCTGAAACGGATTAGCTGGAGTCACAGATCAACAAAAATCCCCTAATAAAGATCATTATTTATTTACCAAATACCTTAAGACCTCGTGAGTGAATCTCAAGGTAAAATATAAAAAAGATACATGGAATTATATTTTGGACACCCCATGTGAATAGGGTTAGCATTTTAACTAATAGTTATCACCATGTTTCCCCAGCTGATTGATTATATCAAGAAATGCAAAAAAAAAATTTGTATTGTAAGTATTCTGAAATGTTATAAGTAAATATGCGCTAATTTGCATACATTTCCAGAAAATAAATCTGAACACTGGATAAAGCCAGGTTCAAAATTTCTGTTTGATTTTGTTGACATATTAGAGTTAAAGGTTTTTACTGAAGGGATTTTGTATTGCTCTTTTCATCACTCCACAAATCAGAAAATACTGTCAACAGCCAGAAGAAAATCCATTTCCACCGTGCTGTTATGAATAAAATGTTATAGAAATCAGTCCGAATTAAATATGAACAAACTGCACAGTAAAAACCTTCAGAATATAGAGAGGGATAAAACTGCTAAGTTTGGTGTTTGTAAGTGCTTCTGAAGTGGAGAAAAAACTTTTAAAGATACGGATTGTAATTTAAATCTACAGACGCAAATAGATAAAGTGTAATAAAATAAACACTTAAATCTGTATTTTGGATATTTCCTTTTCATTAGTCAGAAACAACACTTTATCAGCCCAAATAGTGCACAATCTTAAAAGTGACCAATGCATGTTTTTGCCTATTTTATGATGACAGATTTTTGGCAATGTGACATTATTTTCGCACCCCAAAATTGCATTATTGCAATGCAAAAAATATCTGTAAGATAAGATAAACTTGGACAAATTCTCATTAACATGAGCTAATAAAACAGCATCATAAAAATAATTAGCAAAATGTTGTTTAATTTTCAGAAAGTCACATTTCAGGACAAATTAACTTCCTAAAAGTATTGAATATCAGCTACGCACTTACAATTTCACTTTACAGCTTATTTAATAAATCAATATATCAATAGTTTAAACAGAATTGGTAGAATTAGGGGTCGTTTATACACAACACGTTTTTGCATTCAACTGCACTGTTTTTCCATCATTTTTCTATGTAAATACATGTTAGATGAATGTCTTTGTACGCTGAACCCACGTCTCGCATCTTTTGCAGCATCTTGCGCATGACTAAACATTTTTAAAATGCATGTTTGAAGATGGCAAATTTTCTCTACACCTTGTGGTTTTTAACCTATTAAACTCCCCTGCGTCCCATGTTTTCAATTTTAAAAAAATTTAGTTTTCAGGATGCCCTGTTACTCTCACATCTTATAATTTAGTTATTGTTGGTTTCACGAAATGCAAATTACACATAAAAGTTAATTAATAAATTTTTGTTTTTAAATAATTTTATTACAAATTAATGGATGTTGTTTACAAGATCATTTTAACATATCAAAATACTGGCATTATATAGTGTAATCGGAACAACATAATTTTTGCAACCCCAGAGTCCAGATAATTTACAAATGTTTCACAAAAATATTAAAAAACATTAAGCCCATTAGCGTCTCATGTTTTTAAAAACGCAAAAATGCTTTCTTTGTGAATGGCCTTTTAATGTGCATCACTGTCATGAAAACAATGTCACAATGCAAAAAAAAAAATGTTGCAAATGGTTTTCATTTTCTTTAGGCAATATGTAATTTCTTATTTTGGGGTTCAATATGACCCCAGCTTTGCAGTTTTCATGATATTCACCCTTAAGACTCATTGTGAGAAAGCACACATCTTACCCAACGATCACACCACCAGCCCTCCTCAACACACACACACACACACACACTCGCCGCAGTGTTAGTGGGGTATCAGAGTGTGAGAGATAGATGAAGGGGTAAAAATAACCTGATCCCCCCGAGACTTTTACCACACCTCATACAAAATGTAAAGAGAGAGCGAGAGGCTGCAGGTCGACTTCACACACCTCAACACTCACATCCCTACAATACATTGAATCGCCGGAAGACGTACATTCCAGCACATTCATAAGTCATGACCAAGATCTTTAAAAATGCAACGTTCATGTTAAATATAAAGACCTTGATTGAATATTGCAGAATAGAGACAAAGAGATGCACTACCCGTCAAAAGTTTGAGGTCGGTAAGACTGTTTTTGGACTCTTCTGCTCACCGAGACTGCATTTATTTAATCAAAACACAGTAAGAACAGTAAAATAGTGAAATATTATTACAATTTAAAATAGCTGTTTTCTATGTGAATATCTGTTAAACTGTAATTTATTGCTGTGATCAAAGCTGAATTTTCAGCATCATTACTCCAGTCTTCAGTGTCACATGATCTTCAGAAAGCATTCTAATATGCTGATTTCAAGAAACATTTCTGATTATTATCAATGTTGAAAACAGTTGTGCTGATTAATATTTTTGTGGAAAGCGTAATACGTTTTATTTTTCAGGATTCACAGATGAATAGAAAGTTCAGAAGAACAGCATTTATTTGAAATATTGTGTAACATTAGAAACTTTTGATCAATTTAATCTACACAGTAAATTTTTTAAAAACAGTAATTTCTAAAAAAAAAAATTAAAAACTCTTACTGACCCCAAATTTTTTAACAGTACAGTATATGAGTACAATAAAATAAAATGCCTTATTAAATGTATTAAAGACGTATTAAAGAGGTAATTCAATTGCTTTTCAGTCAGAACTACTCGATGAGGTACGTAACGTAAAATAAATATCGACAAGCAGAACAATATATTCGTCTTTGTACACAAATTTCCACTTAGACACCGCTGTGCAATTTTGAGTTTTCTTCCATGCCAGGATATTATTCTGCCAAAAGCAAAACACAAGTCACTGCACACTTTGTCAGAATGAAATTATGACCAAAATCAGGTTCCTCAGACTGTGATCGGACAACTTTGACTCAATTTCACTCAGATTCAGAGAAAATAAGTGTTAATTTAATTCAGTTTTCACTGCTCTATTTCAGATAAAGTGCCCATAAAGACTGCATAAAAACAAAACAGTCATGTGTTAATGCATTTGCAATGTCTGGCATAAAAAAATGAATCGTTTTTGCAGCTTAGTCTCAATAAGAGCTCTTTTCGACCTGAGTTTGGCAAGTTCTCATGCTACATCAAACTCTTATTTCAGAAGATCAAGGAAAATTCGATTTTTCATGATGTGACCCCATTAAGTGCTTCAAGAAACAAGGACATAAAAAGCATTTGTGACAAATGATGGAAGAATACAGGAGGAAAAAAGGATTTAGTGCATGAATTGTTCCTTTATCCTGTATTTTCCGCATCATTTCTCAGTTTCACCAGGTTTTTTTCAGTCTGGTATGGTCTGCCGGTACTCACCTTCCCCCACAATCCCAAGAACCTCAAACCTGTGCATCACATCACTGGAGGCTGGGTTCCTCATCCAGTCAAACGGCCACCGGGCGACAGAGGAGGAGCTCACGGGGGCGAGCAGTCGTCGTGGTTACGGGCTGGCATGGGGCGGCCTGGTGTGGAATCATGGGAAGGAGCGGATCACTGAGAGCCTTTGAGCATGATGATGTCCGTCATACACACACAAACACACACACACACACACCTGCACCTGAGGAAACACACAAGACACATCATCTAGATGTTTCAATAACAGGGCATTGCTATGCTGTTGCTAAGGTGTTCTGAGTGCATCGCTATGTGGTTGCTAGAATATCAGATATCCGCCAATGAAAGAAAGAAAGAAAGAAAGAAAGAAAGAAAGAAAGAAAGAGAAAGAAATGCCAAAACCTAATACAAAATATCTGTCAAAACTGATAAATAAATATAAATATAAATAAATAAATAATGCCAGAAATGTCAAATATATGTCAAAACAAACAAATAAATAAATAAAGCTGGAAATGTCAAATACTAGCCAATACTAATCAATCAATCAAACTGCAAATACCAAGTAAAATAAATAAATAAAATAAATACATGAATAAATAAAGCTGGAAATACCAAATATCTGCAAACACCGATAAATAAATGAATAAAATAATGAATAATAAATGAATAAATATTGACAGAAATATGAAATATCTGACAATACTAATAAATAAATAATGCCGGAAATATGACATATCTGCCAATACCGACCGACCGAAATACCCGGCAATACCGATTTGAAATTGCCTAATAAATGAAATATTAAATATTGAATAAATGAAATACTGCCAGAAATATCAAATATCTGCCAATAACAATTAAAAAAGAAAGGAAAAAAACAAATATTGGCCAAATATGAAATATCTGCCAATACCGATTTAAAAATATATTGCCCAAAATATTACAATTTTGCCAATATTGATTTATATGTATATATATAAAATATAAAATATCTGCCATATCTGCCAATACCGATAAATAATGCCCTAAATAACAAATATCTGCCAATAACAATTAAAAATATTTTGCAATATAAATTTTTAAAAAAAATTATAATTAAATTGTATTTATTAAAATTAATAAAAACATATTTTCAAAAACATCTGCAAATATGATTACAAAATAAATAAATAACTAAATATTGCTGGAAACATCAAATATCTGCCAATGCAGATCAAATCAATCAATCAATCAATCAATAAAATATTGCCAGAAATATCAAATATCAGACTAAATAAATAAATAAAAATATATTAGCGAATGAATGAATATTACCAGAAGTATCAAATATCTGCCAATAGAGATAAAAAAATAACCGATATGGAGTCAATTTACTGTGCATCTCTAAGACATCATCTGTTTACGGTGGTGCCAGAAAACCAGCATATTTGCTTCAGAAAGGCTCTGCATGGTAAAGGTCCGTCTGTTTTAATTTAGGGCTGGACGACCTGTTTGTCCAAACCATGGAAGGCTAGAAACCATTCTGGTAACCTGTTTGAGCACAATCATTATTTTTGCCAATATATTTGGTGATGAATAAACTGACAAAAAAAGATGATGTGATTTTCCTGGAGCATCTCGTTTCAATCAGATGTCCATGTGGTGTTTCTGGGTGTCAGAACTGCACTACTCACAAACAGATGGATGTCTTTATGTTCGGTCTGCATTTGAGCGTGTTTCCGCTGGCATAGGGTTACTGCATGTCATCACTTTAGACCAAAACGCCAACAAATCAGCGGTGAACTGAGGTCTGGGACTCGCGAGACAGACACGTCACATCAGTGTGATTACACTGACAACACAGATCAGGAAAACAAACACTTTCACTAATGTCACACACACAGACGACTGCATCAACATGACATGACGATCACATTATGACAGGTCGTTCATCTGCGATTGCTTCCTTTTGCGTCTGTCCTGAGCCAAACGAACGAACGAGTAGAAGAGACTCGGGAGGACTCATTTTTATTTACATGGATTTTATTTTTTATTTAGATGGATTATAATGATTTTCTAATAAGCTTGAAATATCAAATATTTGCCAATATTGATTAAAATAAATAAATAAATATCCCCAAAAATATAAAATATCTGCAAATACCAATTAAATAAATAAATAAATAACCCCAAAATTTAAAATATCGGTCCATACAGATTTAAAAAAATAAATTAATATTGTCAAAATATGAAATATCTGCCCATACAGATTAAAGAATAATTCTTGCACAAAATATGAAATAGCTGACAATACCAAATAAATAAAAACATACCACACAAAATGTGAAATACCAATACTGATTAAAAAATAATTGATTAAATATTGCCAGAAATATCACATATCTGCCAAAACATTAAAATCAATAAATTATCAATAAATACATAAATATTACCCAAAATATCTGAAGCTTAAAAAATAAAAATAAATACATAAATCACCCAAAATAAGAAATATCTGTCAGTACAGATTAAAAAACAAATAAATGTTGCCCAAAGTATTAAATATATGCCAATACAACTTAAAAAATAATTAAATAAATAAACAAATATATAAATAAATATTGCCAGAAATATCAAATATCTGCCAATACCGATAAGTAAATGAATAAATAAATGAATATAACTTTTTTTTTAAATCATATCAGGAGGTGAAATAATCATTTTGATTCCTCATAATTTAGATTTAGCTCCATTATAATATTTTTCTAATTCAGAATATGATTGAACCTGACAAATGAAAATTTGTGAACATTTTAGGTTTCATATATTTTATTAGTCTTAGTTTTACTTCAGTTTTAGTTTTTATTTCTACCAAGTAAGTAATTACATTGCTTCAGCTTATTTCTGTTAGCTGTCAAAGAAACATTTCTAATGTTCGCTTAGTTTAAGTTTTTCCATCTAATATTTATGAACATTATCCATTTAATAAAGTTTATTCAATAAGTTCTCAAGGACTCATTTTTTATTTATTTTTTTACAGCCAAAGTAAGTTCAAGAAATGGATTTCCGTCTTCGTGACCCTTGATGAAGCTCTCTGAGAGAGTCAATGCCGCGGCTCAGAGCTCGACGCAGATCCTCCCGTCACATCCCGTCTCCAAGAGTGCATCGTGCACAGACAAACGAACAATAAAAATGCCAAAGCAGCCTGATTTTTACTGTGTATGAGCTCTGAACTCGGACTAATTCAATCAAGCCTCTCTGAAAAGAGCTAAAAATACAGCAGTCAGCCTATAAATGTCAGAAATAGCAGACCAGCAAACGCTTGGGCTGAAGAAAATTGCAGTTTTGCAGCACAAACGCTTTCGGCTGTGAGTCTGCCACAGATTTGGTTAAGAATGGCGAGAGGTTTCTGAGCGGACATCAAAAACGGGGGTTCAAAGGAGATTTGAGTGTGACGTTCGGCCGGTCAGGCAGCCTGTTACTGCTCACGAAGCGAGTCGAAGCTAGAAACAAACGAATCTTCTGGTTTTAAAGCACATCTGACTGGACGACACCGACTGAAACACATCTAAACTCACTGTGTGTTTCTGGGTTCAGTCCCACAGAATGAGAACACGTAAGGAGGACGAGGGGGGAAAAATGACAGAGAGACGACTATAAACGCCTTCAGAACAGAAAACAATGACCGGTCTTCTGAAATCATTTGCATTTCTGCTTGTTTTCAGAGATTTTTGTAATTCCTGAAAAGGCTATGCTTTGTCCAACTGACCCTGCATTTCTTTATTTGTGTGAAAGTGTGTTTGTCTTTTCCGATCAGATTTGAGAACAGTTTATTTTACTTGCTTATTACACTTGTATTTTAAAGCTGAACTGCGTCTTTTCAGTGTTAAATAATGAGTTTCAAACAGGTTTCCCGAACACTCCCCACATTTGCCATTGTTTAGACAAACAGACAGTCCTGCCCCTAACTCATGCCATTGGTCGTGTCAATCAGGGCCATCCAAGATTAGGATGAGTAGGCCTGTCGCACCCAAAATAAGAAATATCTGTCAGTACAGATTAAAAAACAAATAAATGTTGCCCAAAGTATTAAATATATGCCAATACAACTTAAAAAATAATTAAATAAATAAACAAATATATAAATAAATATTGCCAGAAATATCAAATATCTGCCAATACCGATAAGTAAATGAATAAATAAATGAATATAACTTTTTTTTTAAATCATATCAGGAGGTGAAATAATCATTTTGATTCCTCATAATTTAGATTTAGCTCCATTATAATATTTTTCTAATTCAGAATATGATTGAACCTGACAAATGAAAATGTAACATTTTAGGTTTCATATATTTTATTAGTCTTAGTTTTACTTCAGTTTTAGTTTTTATTTCTACCAAGTAAGTAATTACATTGCTTCAGCTTATTTCTGTTAGCTGTCAAAGAAACATTTCTAATGTTCGCTTAGTTTAAGTTTTTCCATCTAATATTTATGAACATTATCCATTTAATAAAGTTTATTCAATAAGTTCTCAAGGACTCATTTTTTATTTATTTTTTTACAGCCAAAGTAAGTTCAAGAAATGGATTTCCGTCTTCGTGACCCTTGATGAAGCTCTCTGAGAGAGTCAATGCCGCGGCTCAGAGCTCGACGCAGATCCTCCCGTCACATCCCGTCTCCAAGAGTGCATCGTGCACAGACAAACGAACAATAAAAATGCCAAAGCAGCCTGATTTTTACTGTGTATGAGCTCTGAACTCGGACTAATTCAATCAAGCCTCTCTGAAAAGAGCTAAAAATACAGCAGTCAGCCTATAAATGTCAGAAATAGCAGACCAGCAAACGCTTGGGCTGAAGAAAATTGCAGTTTTGCAGCACAAACGCTTTCGGCTGTGAGTCTGCCACAGATTTGGTTAAGAATGGCGAGAGGTTTCTGAGCGGACATCAAAAACGGGGGTTCAAAGGAGATTTGAGTGTGACGTTCGGCCGGTCAGGCAGCCTGTTACTGCTCACGAAGCGAGTCGAAGCTAGAAACAAACGAATCTTCTGGTTTTAAAGCACATCTGACTGGACGACACCGACTGAAACACATCTAAACTCACTGTGTGTTTCTGGGTTCAGTCCCACAGAATGAGAACACGTAAGGAGGACGAGGGGGGAAAAATGACAGAAAGACGACTATAAACGCCTTCAGAACAGAAAACAATGACCGGTCTTCTGAAATCATTTGCATTTCT